AAAAAAAAGGTACAAAGAATATAAAAAATTGGCATATAAGACACAGCCATATAATAAACATCTTATTGACAGAGCTAGGTCGGTCTTTATGGGAGAATCTTGACCTCAGTCGCTGGTACAGACCTCACTGCGTTTGGTCAGTACTGGCGACCTCGGTCAAGATTCTCCCATACAGACCTCCCGCTCGGTTAATAAGAACTAAGTACTAATAGGGGCTCGAGGTCACGTTGCACATCCACCGTTGACTAAAAAATAATGACAGCATACTCCACTTCGAAACTTCCCTTGCAAACTGCTTAAACGTTCACACTTAAATGAGAACACGAAAATAAAGAAGGCGGTTAAGGTACATTTTCCGCCTCTGAGGCTTGCTCCAGGAGACACTGGCAGGTTGCTTGTACCACTTCATCTGTTACAAACGAGAAGGGAAGTCTGAAAATAAAACAACGAGAGAAACACATGAGATTCCTCCAGAAACGATAAGTTCCCTGGATTTCATTTAAAATATAAATTTACATCTCATATAACATAACAGTGTGTGCACTAAAATCCAGGCCAACCACACACAAAAAAAAAATTGAGAGGATTTCTTTGACACATTTCATGAACTAATTTAAGGGTGACACTCTTCTCTGCTTCTTTTGTTTTTATATATTTTTTTAACATGTAAATCAGCCAACGACCTTGTAGAAACTATGTGCACCCGATAGAGATTTCACTTTAAACTCCCACGACCAGTAAGCAAGTGGAAGTTCTTGCAAACCCACGCCTTCAACTTTCAATTGACCAATACCATGCTGGTACATACATCATCACTATACGAGCAAGATGAGATTCCCCGCCAGTTGATTATCTGAATTTGAAAATTTTAGAATCTATTGTTACAAAGCTGGCCTCTGATTAGGTGGCTCTAGTTTAAGGAGAAGCACTTTATCCTCTGGCGCACTCAAGTTAAGCTTAAAACTGACCTTTCTCCAGAGTTTGTTAAGAAAGTTGGGCGGGACGGGAGGTCTTCTATTTGAGACTCCAACTTAGTCCTGGCAGCATTCTGTTGCTTCACACGAACCTCTGGAAAAAACCCAATTACAAAAGTGGAGTTAACTTTGTCATCTATGTCGACAAAAGTGACCAAACCAACCCCATCTAAAATCCCTACATGTACACTATATATATCTTTATATATGTCCTTTAAAAACGTGTGCATGTTTTTCTTTGGCTTGCACATTCCCATATTAAAATGAATATGCGAAGTTGAGTCACAGTTAAAACCTAGTTACTACTAAAAAAAAAATCACATGCTAGTAAGCCTCACTTTCCCCTAGCCCATTCTTATTTTAGAACCCTGTGGAGGACTTGCCTAGGAGAACTTTACCCATAAGGAAAGTCAGTTTGTTCTGGTCAACTGGGTAGGTGATTTTATTGCCTCCTATTATCTTCTCTACAATGTCATTAATTCAATCCTTCTCATGCCCTTTGGCACACGAGGCATTAAAATACAACTTGTGAGAATTTCAGTTACATGACTTTAAAGACAGTTACATGTATCCACCATAAGGATAGCAATTTAAAAAAAAAAACATGAAACTGAGAAGCATGGCAATTTTCAAATTGGGACTTGCAAAGTTAATTAGCAAATCAAAATAACCTCGTCTGATTAAATTTTCAAAAACACTTGATCAGGGTAACAACTGTTAGAATTAAAAGCCTCACAAATGGAATGTTTTCTTACCAGCAGCATCTGCCAAGTGCATGAGAGTTTTTCTCTCAGGACTTTCCTCAAAATTTTTACATCCTGTGCATTTACAAAGATTCGTACATAAAATCTTGGCCTGTAAAATATTAACACAAAAGGGTTAAATTACAATCTAAACAGGTTGTATTGTAATTACTAAAGATTGATAAAACTAACTAATCCTACGTCAATAAAACTGCTTCACCTATGAAAAAATTGGTATCCTCTTTGCAACTTATGGTCAATATTGTACATATGGAAGTGCAGACTTTGAATGCAGATCTTTCTTAAATAAAACAAATATGCATACCTCATAGCATTCACAGTAGTTCTTGAGGCATCCTGAACGCTTACAATGGCAACCTATGTGAAACAATTAAGTTCATAAGATAACAATATGAACCACTTGTGAAGTAAACTACAACAGCATAACAAACCTGTCAAAACATCTCACCTTTGTTATGCCGTCTATCAGAATCACCCTGAAAATTTAAAGAGATTACATGTAGTTTAGGGAACTTGTCTTAGAATGACACATTAGCTGATGCACGGAGGACTGCAGCTTTACACTCTTATCTAGGTGCACTAACTGGAGTACAAATTGCATGTGGGTCAAGTTCAAACATCTCAGAACATAATATGATTATTTGAACAATTGGTTATTTTGTATAGTAATGCTATGCAAGCGTTACACAAGATATGTCACAAACAGGCTGGTTAACCACTTTTCTATTGGCTTCCCTTTTCCCACCTTGTGAGAAATGCATTTATGAAATAGAGCAGTTAGATAATTATAAATAATTTGATGCTGTACTGCTGAGTATTTTTTTCTTGTTTTCACTGCCTGTTTGTATTTTGACTTGCTCTGCTAGCTCATCTAATTATGGTACAACTTGTGAAAACACTTGGAGATATTACACACCAAAATATTTAATAAGAGATAAATATTTCCTACAAGTAGTAAAACAGCTCAGATGTCAGCATGGTATAACCTCTAGCAAATAAGACTCATATTCACAAGAAGGATTTTGAAATAAACAAGGTTTATAATGTCTACATCAACCATGACACATTGTGAATCATTGATAAAAAGTGAAAAAAATCTTCAATCAAACATAACAATTCCTACTGATACAAAGACCAACTTTGAGCATTAAACATAAGGAATGAAGCCCTTACCCTTCCTTTTCCAATTTTTGGGTGAAAAGCTTGAGGATTTCTCTCCAAACAAGCCTGAAACATATACAGTGTTTAAAGTTAGAGGGACATGTTAATATAACTGGGATGCTTTTGTGCTGATTATCACAAAGAGACAAAAAGGTACACACAAAAAAAAAAAAAGGAAGAAAAGCTTAGACAGGGGTTTCATCAAGAGCTGGGCACTGGGCAAATTGATCGGTTTTGAGGATGGTTTTGCCCACCTGGTTTGACAATCTGGAGGAAAGTTTATCTTATAAAGAAGTTCAGTTCAAAAAGTTTAGCCTGCCTGTGAAAACCAGTTGCCCTCCTGCTGAAAACATTAATAAAACCCCTGTTAGATCACTCTGTCCATGTGCAACTTACTACTACAAAGGACAAGATCAACAGTTTCCTTAAAAACTAATTTAAATGTTACTTCTAGAGAAATGTTTGTGCAGCATCAGCAGGCATACGTGGCAAATCCTTCCTCACATATTTCAGCATAGTAGAGGTAAACTAAGAAGCTGCTGTATTGTTTTTAAAGAGGTTAATGTTTGTTGCATCAGTACTTCCTGGAACATAGTGGAGATTGGTGGGTTCTATTTATGTCTATAGGATAAGATTGGGGTACATGTAGATGTTTGCTCAAACCTTAATGGCCTTGCTCCTCTCCTTTTCATGGTCCATATTGTTACAGCAATTGACACAATTGCAATTGCTGCAGAATTCTCCATTTGCAAAACACTCACAGTACCTAACAGAATCATACACATAGCAGAAAGGGTGAACTCTGGTAACCATGAGGTCAATATTAACTTGTACAATGTAAGTAGATATTTTACAATTAAACTGGAGGGAAGACCCTCTGGTAGGAAAAAAGGTGTCAAGTTTTCATTGAAACTTCTTACAAATAATACCCGTTAATAATCATGCTACGGCATTGTTCACTTGCTTATAAGAATCCAAGACCACAAGTGCATCCAATACTTTCTACAAGTTCTTCCAATCTTATTTACAAGTGTCAGTAAGGACTCTATATTGGAATCGTACAGCACTTACAATTTAAGACATTGTGACTTTGTGCAGTTACAAGGCTTGCGAGGTCTGTTGGGAGGTGATGATTCAGGAGAACTCCTACAAGTAAATAAAGGCAAACCAAACACCACCATGACACAAGAGACATCTATTCATGACAAATGACTTATCTGCATCAAAATTTCTGAATCAATGCAAAACAAAGGCAGGGCTCTAACTGTTGAACAAATATTGCTCCCTTAAGTCACTTCTGCTGTACCCAGTAATTGTCACAATGAAATCCAGCAGTTGACATACTTACCCATTTACAGTCATTCCTCCCTGAGCTTGAGTATTTAAGGCATTAGCCTGTAAAGGTACTGCAATAGGAAAACCTCCAGAAGCAAGAGCTTGCTGAAAATCAAAAGGAAAACAATACAAAACCAGTTTGAGAAGAGAGAGTCTTTTGTGCTGCGAGTCCTGATTCAACAACGGGATTATTTACTTATTTATTAAAAAATACTTAAAGAGGGAGCCCCACTCAACATAGCAGTTTTCAGTGAGGCCCTAAAAATTAACAATGTATAAAATAAGTAATCACTTAATTCATAAGTAAAACTCACAGTGGAAATTATGAAATATCTAAAATATGACATGAACAGAAAATAATAAAATTGATGTGCAAGAGATGACACACTAAAGGAACCTAGTAAGATTCAAAATATTTAAGCAATGAAATTTTAAAAGCATCATAGGGTCTAGACATCACATGTCTTCTGGAAGGGAATTCCAGTCCATCAATGTACTATTAAAGGATCTGAGTAGACCCCAGTTCGTGTTTGATCTCATAGATCTAATAATTTCCTTGGAGCGAGTGTTATGGCTATGATTGATTTTGACTCTTCCTTAATCCTTTCACTCCTAAGATCTCATTGGAAATTCTCTCTATTGCCTGCCACACCATTATTATGATATTAGTTTAGAGAATGTGGTTTCAGACTGACTAATAATTCCCATAATCGATGTTTTTCTTTATTCTCATTGCCTTTCTGGATGATTTTGTGTTGAAATTGTGAGGTGAAATTCTGTCCTGCTCCCTTTTGCGAGTAAAAGAGTTAAAAATTACTCCTAGAGATGTTTACTATGCTAATCCACTTTGGTTTACCCACCTCCCCCCTGCCCTTGAATCAGTCTATGGGATTCTAAAAAAGTTTTCTGGGACCAATTTTTCCACCTAGGTGGATATAGCCTCTGTGAAAATGAAGTGTTTCACCCACAGATAAAGTGCTTTGACCTTTGTCAGAGATTGATTCAATACCTCAATAGCCCATTTCTGAATTACCCTTGGCCTCATTTTCAAAACGAGTCCTGGTGCTCATCCTTTCATATCATTATAAATTTTCATTCACATGCAAATTAAACTCATTTTCACAAGAATGATTGAGTACCAGGCCTCATTCTGAAAAAGAAGCCAAAAGTAATTCAGAAATGGCCTACTGAAGCAGCTAATTGTCTGTATGGACACAAGCCTTTCTCTCGCACATACCTGAGGAAGATAAACTACCCCGCCACTAATTACACCATGGGGAAACTGAAGGCTGCCTGAGGCTCCTGCGGTTGTTATCTGTGGTATTGTAGAGGGTAGGGCTGGCACAATGAGTCTTTGTTGCTGAGCCCCACTGCCTACTTGTGTCTGGACTGGCTTTGGTGCCAGCTGACAAAAGAATAAAAAAAAAAAAAGGAAAGCAAACAGTATTCACCAATACAATCATAATCACCACATTTCACCTTACTCATCTACAAATAATGGTCACAAAATGTCTAATGGTCTTAAAATGTGTCTACATTTCTCTTAAAATTCCACTGAAAAGCCAGAACAAAGCACTAAAAAGTGTAAATATTGAGAAGGCAGAAAAATGGAACCACAATATTTTTTATGAAAGCACCATTACTTTAGTTTAAGGCATGATATAAATGATTTAACAAGCTTGCAAATTACACTATCAGTAACCTAGGACACAACCTTTTTTTTTTAACTAAATATGATCTACCTGCTGAGGAACTTGCGCAGTCTTCTCCACGGCAGGAGCAATATTTCTTACTTGCACGGTAGGTGTTGTTAATTGTACAGCCTGTCCAGTTGGAACTGCTGATACCATGTTCACTTTAGGAGCAATGTGCCGCACACCAGAGACAGATCCAGCGGGGGCAGCTATTGTGAACTGAGGGGCTGTGCCTGTTTGTACCTTTGACAAAGATGTAGTTGCAACACTAATGGGAACCAATTTTTGGAATTGCACTGGAATAGTTTGCTTGCTTGGAGAACCTCCTGTTTTAGGCGCAATCTGTTGTTTATTTGGAAATGGCTGTACATGAACCAAGGTACATGTTATGTTGCCAGCAGAGCTAGAGTTTGTCTGTCCACCTGTAAGTGCTGTACCTCCCCTTGATATGGGTGTCAGCTTGATGGGACTACCAGAGATAACAACTAAGGGAGGCTTTGACTGGGCAGCCGTTGTAATAGTTCGTGCTGCTGTGGTTGCTATGGTAGTGGCTGTGAAAAAAGGGCAATAGTCCATTTTGCAGTTGCATGCTTTGTTGCCAAGACTTTGAACAGGAATGAGGCTAAGGGTTACCTTGTTATGATACAGACTTTGCTGCTTTTCAAATGTAAATTACTTTGTTATCATGCTAACTAGATACTGGTCCCCATCACCTATCACAACAAGATCACCTTCAGCCTCACTCCAGATCAAAGACTTGGCAACTAAGTAAACAATCATAAAATGGCTTACTATAGATTAAAAAGTCAATGCTATTTTCCAATGTACATTTAATTACACTGTAACTATTTCAAATTTGATTTGTATTTCTCCTTTTTTCAGGTTACAGTGATGAATGTGGAGAGATGACAAATAAATACCACAAAGGTTGGACCATGACGCATGCTGTATAATTTGTGAGTTGCCTTTAGTCTATTTCAAAATTTAACACAATCTCTGTAGTTGGTTCTCTGAATGATCAAAGAAGTGACACCAAAAATTACCAATAGATTGTTATTTCCAATTTCACTGATATCTTTTTATCAGTTTGCTTATGGAGTTATGAAAAATATTCTCAAAAAATGTATTTAATGCCCATCACTGTTTGATGCACTCTGGAGTGAGCCAAGGATACAGGGTCTTCTGCACATGTTGAGGCTTACAGGGAAACTTTCTCTTCTTGAGAGATACTGTGAAATTGTTTTTCAATTTTCCTCCCTTCCCTCCACCCCCCCTATAAACTTGCAAAGTTGAAAGACATTCTTGAAATAAGATTTAGAAGAAAAGCCAAACAAATTTTTCAAGCTAAACCAAGCAAAAATTATTGGTTGTTTGTTTGCTTTTCTTTTCATCACCAGTACTGCTCGCCCTTGTTTTACAGGCTTGAATCACTGTGATGTTCCTTGCTCATGGTAATTGAGTGACAAAAATTTAGATTTCTCTCTGAAAAATCACACTGACCTTGAGTAACAGCACATTGTTGCTTCTGAACTTCTGGTTTAGGTTGTATGAAAAATATTTGAGGTTCTGGTGCAGGCACAGTTGCTGCAGGTCCTGCCCTGGTTGCCACCATTCCTGAAGGTAAGGTTACCACAGCTGTGGTTTTTGCAGTTGCATTCTGTGCTGCTGTTGTGATATTGGTAGTGGACGCTGTTGTCGTTGCTGTTGTGGTCGATAGTGGTGTCGGATATGCATCATCAATAGGTTCTTGCTTAACTGTAATTATTTTCTCCATAAAAGATGAAATTCCCTAATTGAGAAAACAATTAAACAAAACACTACTATTAGCATGTTAATCTGTTGTTAGAGTAGGCTTTCAACAAAAAACATTAGAAAAGCTGAAGCAAAAGGGACACTGATTTATAACCACTAGCAAAATTAATTGCTCAAACATACTGAAACATACTTTCAGTGATGTTAAGTTATTTTTACCAATTTGCAAAAAATATATAAGAAGTTCAAAAACTCCTGAAATTCGTTACTTAGCTGACTCAGAATAACATGAGCTGGGAATAATTTGTTGTTCCCATAAATTACATAAAAGAGGACTACCTCTAACAACTACAAAAGTCATAAAATTTAACTGGATGTCAGTAAATACGTTCAGGAAAGAGACTCGCGTTGGATAAGGTTTCTCGAAGAAATGTAACAATAGTATCTGATTTGATCCTAACCAAAGATCGTGATACTAGTTATAGAGAAAGTCAATGTCATCTTTCACTGCAAGACTAATGGAGAAGTGTTCATTTCGGCATGAATAAGGTAATCTATCGAGTTACAGTGTTTACCCACAATATAGAGAAAGGTCGGAGCAGCGAATTATTAAATTCGTCCCCTGACCTTGGATGAACTACCTATCCCCTAAATCCATTTTGCTAGAGTTTGCACATCGTGGAAAATCAAATTTACCCGTCATGTTCAAAGTGCAAGGCAAGTTTGAGATACAAAACATACAGACTTTATTGGACCCTTTCGAATAAAGTTCTAACACGTACTAACAAGCTAATCGAAAGCTTACGATTGTTTACTGAACATAGGGCAAAATATCAACTACAAATATACGATATCATTCTTTAACATCAGTCAGTTTACGTAGTTTCCCACTTCTGAAGTAGAAGTTAGAAGCATTTTAGGCACATCACGAAGTTTTACATCGAAATAGTCCGTATTTCACAGCAGCATTTAAAGAATGGGAGACATTTCATTAAAAACCCACCATGCGAAAATCGAAACTTTCCGTTCGATCCCCATATAATTTTAGCAAACAGTCGACGTGTTTGATACCCATACTTATCAATAATATCAAACTTCGAAAAAGTGGCCATAAGTTCATTTTATTGCAGTTAAAGACGCAACGGAAAACGGACAGCAAATGCAATCAAAAGAACCCACCACAAAGGGAATAAGAATAATCCATTGCAGGCTTAAAAGTTTACAATTAAAACATAAATTTTTGCGGCGTTGTAGGAGGCACCCTGACACTTGAAATTTACGCAAACACTAAAGCGATTATTATGAAAACTAAATTAAGATAAAACGATGAGTTAAAAGTCAGGGGTAGAAATCTAACATCATGATCGCGAAAGAAACGCAAGACTTCGTCCACCGGCCATGGTCGCCAAGAGAAACAGTGCCGATTCTTTCGCGATGGGCAGTCCTTCGAGAGACATGGCCCCTAAACAACCCCTAATTACCTGTAAGATGCATCGATCTCAAACAGTGTCCAAAACAAGCCTCCTTTGCAAGCCAAAATCCCATGAAAACAGCGTAGTAAAGAAACTCAATTTACACCAGTCCTCGGACATCTTGTTGTTCAAAATCACGCGCTTTTGCCAGCTAAAGAAATCATCCCATAATGCATCGGTGTTAAGTGTGTGCTGATTGGACAGAAAGACAAAAGCTCAGGATTTTAGACGTTTTTATTGGTTCTTTGTTTACCAAGGAATTTCGTGGGCCTGTCGATTTTTCGAAGTCTGAAACTAATGGCGGTCTTCCTGCGTGTGACCTGGAGGGAAGATTAAAATTATCTGCACTTCACCGACGAATTAGATCCTGACATGTACAGTGGCTAACAGCATAAGGTTTTTCAAAGGTATTTTGTCATGTCATGTTAAGTGATCCAGCTGAAGAAGGCAAAAATGAGAGAGAGCCAAATGATTCTCAGCTTAGCGCAGATTCAGAACTTAATTATTATTCAAGCAAAATGGTCCTCCACGTTTGATATTACTCAGACGTTATTGTCGATATCTTATTGCACACCTATATTTGCAATTATGAAAATTTTATCACAATAGCAAGGTCTTTCGAAGGAAATCTTAGTCGATTTTTTTTATTCTCATGGAACTGAATCGAGGGGGTGTGGTTGTTTGTGTTTGGGGCAGTTCAGAGGGGTTATATGTTACGTAAGCCGGAGCAAGGGAGGCAGTTCGAAATTATTCTTTTCTCTGAGTCAGCACAGTAATCCTACTTGCATGAAAAATGGGCCAGCTAGATTAAGCGAGTTACCTTTAATTTCTCTTTACTAAAGTGACTTGCATGGTTGTCTAGCCCAATGTGAATTGTGACCCTCAAAAATAGGCAAAGAAGCACCACTTTCATAACCATTGCATCCCACAGATGTGCTGTGGCACCAGAAGTAGACTCAGACCTGCAAATTTCCTTTCGATTCAGCATCAGACTTCTTCTTGTCCTAAACTTTGCTCTGACTTTGCAGAACGTGGATAATTAGCTGAGTGAGGGAGTTATTGTTTTGGTCTGGCTTTCTATCAGACCTTTCTTTACTAAGTCCAGTACCAGGCTCTATACCTTGGTCTTACAGCTGACAGTTCCAGTACTTTGTCATTCTGAGTCACCAGGTGGTTTACTAAAATTCACTTGTTTCTACAAAGACATGTTAATGCTGTTTTGGAAAAGCTGATTTTGGTTGTGTTTTAATTCAAGATTGAGATATTAATAGCTTTGAAATTCAGACAATTGAGGTGTCAGGGAAAGACACAGAATGGATTTTAGGTGAAGACCCTAGAATTTTCCTCTGGGTCTGTAAAGTTAACAAAACTTTGGAGAAACAGGCCCTTAGCCCTTTTTATCTGGAAAGTTTGTCTGACTAGAAACCTCTCCCATCCCTCTCTCTAAGGACTTCCAATGCTTTTGTGGTAATTTTGAATTGCTGTGTTTCCAGACGAATGCTTAAATAACACTAGGCCATGAACATTGTTTTTTAATCTAGATCACTTCGGATAATTCATAATTTTTTGTTGATTACAGGCCGCTTTGTTTACGAAGATGGCCTGGCTGCTTGGTGCAGGTGGGATAGCGGCTCTTGCAAGTTATGTCTATTCTAACTGGGACTGGTACAAAAACAGTGCACGGCCTGATTTAGCTTACTTAAAAGCCATTAAACTCAAGACTTTAGACGGATCAGGAAAAGAAGTGATGGCATCTGACCTTTGGCAGAATGGTGGAGCAGTCATAATGGTGGTGCGACGGCCAGGATGACAATTGTGCAGAGAGGTTAAATATTCTTCTTTTCAAAATGTTATGTACAAGTGAAGATTTATGGTTGCAGCATGCATGTGTTGAGAAGTAAAGTCCTCCAGTATAACAAAATAGCCTTAAAGGATGCTTGTGATTTGGGCTTTTTATTTGGATTATTTTAGAGTGAAAGGTTTCTGGGTTTTTTTTTTTTTAGCAATAGCACCCTCCAATGATACACAATATGCACTTATAAGAGATATATTGCACTTGATTTTTGCTTTTTCATGTCAGTATCTGTATTGATATTTCCTTAGGAAGCTTTAGAGCTGTCCTCTCTGAAACCTGAYCTGAACCAGAGGGGTGTAAACCTTGTGGGTGTGGTTCATGAAGAAATGGGAGTAAAACAGTTTCAACCATACCTAAATTCTACAATTTACCTTGATAAAGAGGTAAACTAAGACAGTTAGACCTGCATCTTATTGTAATTATTGTTATTATTATTTATTTTTTAATAATTGAACTTTTTTAATTTTAAGTTTTTTAGGTAAATAGTCCTTTAATGTATATAGATATGCTTATATATCTAGTTTATTGATCATTAATTTTTTTTGTTTATATAGAGTATTTTTCTAACATTAAGTTGTCAAGTGTTTTTAACATGAGCCACCAGCTTAGATTAGGCAACTACTTCCTGCATTATTGACTTTAAATAAATTATTATTATTATTATTATTATTGTTATTATTATCTGTTGTTATTATTATTGTTATTATTATCATTAATTTTTTTTTGTTTATATAGAGTATTTTTCTAACATTAAGTTGTCAAGTGTTTTTAACATGAGCCACCAGCTTAGAAGATTAGGCAACTGCTTCCTGCATTATTGACTTTAAATAAATTATTATTATTATTATTGTTATTATTATCTGTCAAATGAAATGATGTAGTGGATGTAAAATAACATTTCTTTGAATGCACCTTTTGTGTCTTACCATCAGGCCTTTTTCGATATTTTAAAGTTCAAACTTGGCTCCAAGGCTTGGGGGAATAAAATAAATGAAATGATATGGAGGTTTAGAGATAAAAAGTTAATTTCTTGTTTTTTAACCCCCAGCCTCCGAGCCATGTTAGAATTTTAACATACAGAAAATGGCTTATTAAAAGTGATGTTTGTGGAGGGTTATGAAGTGGAAAGAGGCTCATAAGATGAACCTATGAAGAATTACATGGCTAAAACATTCTTCCAAGTTTCTTTTTAAAATTGAGCTGAGGGTTTCCTAAGAAATTTTCTAAAAAATTCCTAAAAAATTGTCCTAAAAAATTTTATAATTATTTATAATTTATAATTTTTATTTATAATTTATATTTATAATTTTATAACCTTAGCATATTCTTAATTTTAGTACTTTAATCTTTAAGTTAGTGCTTTATATGCTTCTTTACATCTACATTGCAAATTATTATTATTATTTTTTTTATCTAATCTAAATGTATTTTTAGTCTGAGGACCCCCCCTGAAAACCACTCAATGTGATGGGAGTATCCTCTTTAAATATAATTTATTATTATTATAATTATTATTAAATGGTCAACGATTTTTTCGGTTTTAATTTTCCTTGATAAAAAGAGAAATCTTGACTTGGTATACTCTACATAGGTGGAGAAGATTATGTTGAATTTACATGTCTGCTGCTAAATGTGATCCAGTTCATAGCTTTAACCAATTCTTGAAATGGTGTCCTATTTTTCTTACCTCAGAAAAAGTTTTATGGTCCCGAGCAAAGGTGGATGTTTCTTAGTGGTAAGTTTGTCTGTTGTGCTCAGTTTACAGCCAGACAAGGAGTTTGTTCATTCACTGAGTTTCAGGTTATCTACTGCATGAAACAGCCAGTATATATTGGAGTACAGTTGAACGTCTCCACAATGGCCACATTGAGGGCATAAGAAGTGGGGGTTGTAGAGAGGTTGTAGAGAGGTTTAAATAAATGTATGGACAGCCAGGTGGGACCAATAAAAAGTAGCCTTTGTGGAGAGGTGGCCATTAGTGGAGGCTTGATTGTAGTTGGAATTAATCCAAATTAACTTGAATTCATGTAAAGAACAAGCATTTTCAATGGGTGTTCTATAAAATGTAGTATTCAACCCTATCACACCAAGAAATCGTTTCTAGAATATCGTTTGAGCAGGAGTGATGAGAGTAACCCAAACATGTTAACCAGGGGATTATCATTTGATCAGACACCAAAATCTCAGAACAAAATTTATATAAAATGTGTGACAGACAGAAATGAGAATTTTCATCAAGGTATTAGGGTTGATAAATTTCATGATGTAACATATTTACTGAAAGTACACAGTCCCAAACATACAAGGCATTGTCTTAAGACCAAGAACTTTATGAGTCTCGTTTAGTCACAGTTTTGGCAAGAAAACTTTCTGTATTTTTCAGGTTTTTTACGACCAAGTGTGTGGAAATCATTATTTCGAGCCAGAGGGAAGGGAATTGAGGGCAACCTGAAAGGAGAAGGACGGCTCCTGGGTGGTGTGTTTGTGGTAGGACCTGGAGAGCAAGGCATATTACTTGATCATAAAGAAAAAGAGTTTGGTGACAAAGCTGACCTTCAAGCTGTTAGAGATGCAGTTTTGAAAATAAATTCAAATAATTAGTTAAATGAACTGTCATTAATAAGTATTAATGTATTTATTTGAGAGCAACTAGAAGGATTATTTTGTAGAATAGTTTGTGATTTGTCATTGTGGAAAATAACACTTTCCAAAGAGAAATAATTTTATAGTCATTTGTCTGATGATGTAGTCACTGCAGATGTGGATCCCAACATTTCAAATGCGAACAACTTGACGGATATATTTTTTTAGATAATCAATTGTGATCACATATTTGTTAGATGAAAAGCTACCCTGCCCATGTTATTTTTTACGACTACTGTTGTTTTCTTTCAAAAGTTCCCCTCCTTCCACCCTACCTTGGGAACCACATAATTTTCTTGTATGTGATTTATTGTGAATCAAGAGTGATCAACCTAGCTATGTATTGTTATGAAAATTTGTTAATGAAGATGAAGCAAGTGACAGAAGATTGGAAACTTAAAAAACCCTCTTGGTGATCTTCATTGGTCTTGCTTATGACAGCTAAGATTCAATTGACATTTTGTTATGATCTTAGCTAGATGTTATTGCATTGCAAGTGATGAAGTCACAAAAGAGGCAATTTTGTTAGTAACATGGTGATAATTTAGAAATGGTACAGAAGAAATAAAATATGAAAATTTTCTTTATATGTCTTTCATCTGTGCTTCATTATTAAATAAATGCTTTTCCTCTTTTTCTCTGACAAGATCCATGGAAATACTCCACTCACAGAGCTGCTACACTTCAGCAAATCTTTTCTAGTTACTTCTCCCCTCTAGATTGAGTTCGGATTTTTAGTCCTGATCCTCTACCCAACCTAGACGCTTTGTAGGTAATGTTTCTCTAATTGCACTACAAGCCTGTTTTTCAAGATAGAGCAGGCTTATGATAGCAGGTTGGATATGTTCAGACATGAGTTTGAAAAAGATTGTTTTATGATAAGTGGATGTGAGGTAATAGAAGATCGCTACCATACTCATTTCTTTAACGGCTGTTGACATATATGATTTTCATATATAATTATTCACAAACGACCTGTCACCTCACGGGTTTATTATGAACCAACATAATGATCAGCTCCCACTTGGCTTGTTAACTCAGTTGGTAGAGCACTGCGTTTCTGTTTTAAACCTCCAGTAGTTATACCAATAGTTTTCTTGAGTGCTTGTTTTGTAAGAGTTTCCAACTCTCAGTCATCTTATTGACTGATGCATGACAACAATTCATTTTGGGTGGTCTCAGCATGAAAATCCACCTGAATTATATTATTCATACCCGGTGCCACTCCTTGTTCGCCATCCGGGGAGCCCTGGAGGGAAGGCAGGAAATCCAAGATGGTGGTTCTGGTGCTAGATAATGGCGCCAGTGCAGCGAAAGTCGGATTTAACACAGCTGATAGTCCAAGGTATGGAATCAACCGCACTTAAACATTGAGAAATAACTTAACCTTGCTTACGAAAACTTAATGGGGCTTGGTTTCTCTTTTCAGGCTTATACCGAACTGTATTTTCAAAGCGAAGAGCGAAAGAAGAAAGTTGTTTATTGGCGATCAACTGGAAGAGTGTAAAGATTATTCCGGATTATTTTACCTTCTACCTTTTCAAAAGGGCTTCTTAGTGAACTGGGATGTAGAGAAGCAGATATGGGATTACATGTATGGTAAAGAGGTTATGAAGGTAGTTTGACCTAGATTTGATCTGTAAAGTGAGCGTGTTTTTGTTTGATGATGTTCCTGGAGGTTCACAGAATTTTTCTCAACTAATGTCACAAATAACTCGTAGCTGAAACGAATGTTAAGAAAGAAATTTGTATTTTTCATTCCTTTGTTATTGACACATTGTAATTTAACTTTATGTCGTTTTCTAGGTTGATTTTCCTGAAACAACCATTCTGATGACTGAACCGCACTTTAACTTTACCTCTATCAAGGTGGGTTCAATTACAGTGCAGGAAAAGGTTGAAAAGAGTTATTTGTTATTTATTTTGTTTATTTGTTTTATTTTATGTAGTATGAGGCTTAGTAATGCAAGGGTAATTGTACATGTGAAGAACAGCTCCCTGAAAAAACCTGACAGATAACTGACAGGCCACTGACAGGTATTTCAGTTGGCTGACAGTCCCCCAACAGGTTTTTTCACATAGTTTTTCTACACAGTTACAGTGAAAAAAAGCTGTAGTTAGTTTAGAACACCCAATGAAGGCTCAAAACAGTGGTTAGTTCAGGGACTCTTCTATGTCATTAGTTTTCTGGCATTCTCATATCACATGGGTGTCTGTTATGTCATCATTTCCATGTACTTATTTTGGCTGAAACCTTTATATCAAATATAACTGCATATCATCATTAATGTATTATTATTCATTTATTCTAGTTTAGCTTATTCCTTTTTACTACATTTTAATCACTCGAAGATATTAGCTTACAGCTAATCTTAAATTCGAGGTAAATAAAGTTTATGTATGTATGTATGCATGTGTACAATCCAAGTGATGATTAAAATAGCTCGGAGGATGCAGATATTTGTGCATGGTTCATGTACATGAATGTAACATGTCTTGGTTACTCACTAGGATGCTACAGATGAAATTTTGTTTGAAGAATATAATTTCAAAGCCCTGTGCCGAATATCAGGTAAGTCGCTTTGTAGAGATTGGTGTAGTCATATCACATTTGTTGTTATCAGTGCCTGAAATACTCAAATACTTAACCCTTTAACTCCCAGAAAAGATCAGCATGTAACTTCACCCTACTATATCCATACCTTGTTCAGCAAACTTGTGATGAGAATACTCAAACATATCAAGTAGAAGTTTGTGGAGGTGTGGTGGCCTCATGGTTGGTGCACTTGACTCTGGATCAAGTGGTCCGGGTTCAAGCCCTGGCCGGGGACATTGTGTTGTGTTCTTAGGCAAGACACTTTACTCTCACAGTGCCTCTCTTCACCCAGGTGTATTAAATGGGTACCAGCAAACTTAATGCTGGGGGTAACTCTGTGATGGAGTAGCATCCCATCCAGGGGGGAGTAGAAATACTCCTAGTCGCTTCAAGCTACAGAAACCGGAGTTAAGCACCAACCTGACGGGCCACTGGCTTGTAAACAGACTTTACCTTTACCTCAGGTAGAGGTTATCTTGATTTAAAAGCAAATTCTCATAACTGATTTACTACTGGAGAGGAGAATTAACAATCAGGCTCCGGTTGTTCAAAGGGCGGATAACGCTATCCAACGGATAAATCGCTATCCAGTGGATAAGTGTTACCAAAACGTACTGTGCTATCCACTGGATAGAGATTTATCCAGTGTATAGCATTATCCATCTTTCGAACAACCGGGACCTGCTCTTTGGAGTTAAGTGTTAATGCACCAATGTTGATGAAATTAATGTTGATAAAATTCATGAAATAAGGTTATTTCTTTTATTTGGTTATACCAGCTAAGTTGAAATTGTAAATTGGCCATCGTAAAGAGTTAAAAAGCTGGTGTTTCAAGCATTAGTCCTTAGTCAGAGTGAAGAACAAAGGGCTAATGCTCGAAGGTCAGCTTTTTCACTCTTTATGGTGGGCAATTTACATTTTCAACTTGGTTGATATAACCAAATTACCTTGTTACCCCCACCGATGCAGCACCACAGTTTCTTTTAATTAGAAACTGACCCCCTTTATTGATTTCTTTTATGTTTAGGAATAATTTTGTGTGCTTGTTATGTTTGTCAGTATTTTCACCCTCATGATGCATTGAAAGGATTGTTTTTGGAAGAGAGCACTGTCTTATGGTCTAACATATACAATTTTATTGAGATGGGCCAATCTGTACTGTTGATAAAAAGTCATGCAACACAATGGACGATATAATTATCTTAAAAGATTACTAAATAATCATGGCATGCACAAATTTGTAATTAAAATAGCTTTAGGGTAGGTATGATAAACAATTATTCTACCAGCATGCATTGGATGCGAGATGGTAGATAGCTAATGAGGCCCATAGGGCCGAGTTGGGTCTTATCATCTTATATCCAACAAGCATGAGTGGAATAATTGTTTAATTAAAAATGCCACAGAATGTAAATAAATTTTCCCGAATTTATTTTGTAAGAACAAACAGGATGTTAGATGTACAAAAACACTTTTGGGTTAACTCTTCTTCATGACCAGTGATGGCTGAGCCAATGAAAACTCTTGAACTGCACTATCTAATCACATCCAGGTTTGATAATGGTTATTACTAACTTTTATTATCTGTTCTTTATTCCAAGCTGCCCAATTGAGTGCCTTCAAATGTCACAAAGAAGAAGTAGACAAACGTCTTATATGCCTGGTTGTAGATACTGGATATTCATTTACACACATTGTGCCTGTTCTCAATGGAAAAATATTAAAGAAAGGCATAAAAAGGTGTGTTGCATTCAAGGAGAGCTTGTGTTTGGCCTTCTTGCTCAAAATATGTGAAGACAGTGATATTACAATGATCTACTTGTAATGTCAACATAAGGTGACATTTTGAGCATTAATGCTCAAAGCATCAACTGTAGAATCTCTTAACAACTCATTGATAAAACGGATACTCATAAAACCAAATTATCATAGTTTCTTTCTTGAACATCCTCTATTTATAATTTTTAGATCACGATATATGTATATGTCAACCTTGGCTGAAGGATTATTGCTCTGAAAGAGATGAGAAAAGATACTTGAAATTATACTTGATATGTAAAAAAAAAAAATACATTTGCTCAAACAAAAAATTATGAATTACCAATGAAGCAGAAAAATTGTCCTGGTTGACATCTTTTCTTCTTGCTGAAAGTGATACTGCAATGAGAAGATTAAATAAATGTAACAGACGTAACAAACTAACTTACACAAGGAAGATAGAAATTTCATACCTTCTTTTTTTACTTTTTGATTACTAAAATGTATTCACAACTCTGCTCTTTGTTGTAGGATTAATGTTGGTGGAAAACTGTTGACTAACCACCTAAAGGAAATCTTATCTTACAGGTAAACAAAAGATCTTTAAATTAGGATTTATGTTTAGAGGACTTGAATCTTGATATAGACACCTTGAGGATATTTCCTGTGAAGGTGTCACTTTTCTAGGGATGATTTCATTCTGAGGTGGTGATCGAGAACCACATTTGCACGTTGCCTTTCAGATGGACTGATTATCAGAGAAGACATTTACGCATGCCTATCTGTCTTAGTCAAACAGTCTGGCTTCATCCCAAAACAACTGCTAAGTGCATAATTAACATGGTAGTGGAACAGCTTTTCACTGATCTCACTTCACTTTAACCTCACCTCAGTATTGAGTTTTAGGCGAGACTCCCATTTGGGAAGGAGAGGGAATCTTACTCAAAGTTATGAACATAATATTTTACATATTTTCAACTTATAGGCAACTGCATGTGTTAGATGAAACATATGTCATTAATCAGGTAGGGAAGTTTCTATGTAAGTAGGAATCCTATTTGACAGACATGTAAAAGTGACTGTTTGCTGTGTATTGAGTTCTTTAATTGTAACTTACAGTTCTAGGAAATTTTATTGAACTTAGTACTCAGTTAAGGCTATAGTGATGATCACAAGTGTAGCTGAAGAAAGGCAAATTCAGTTGGATTGTTAGTGCTGTGCAACCGAGCTGTATTTAGGAACTTTAAGTTTAGATCAGGGTTATTTTACAGTTCTAGGAAATTTTATTGAACTTAGTACTCAGTTAAGGCTATAGTGATGATCACAAGTGTAGCTGAAGAAAGACAAATTCAGTTGGATTGTTAGTGCTGTGCAACCGAGCTGTATTTAGGAACTTTAAGTTTAGATCAGGGTTAAACAATTGTTTTCTACAAAAAATTGTATGTGGTTTACTATGGGATTGTTAGTGCTGTGCAGCTGAGCTGTATTTAGGAACTTTCAGTCTGAATCAGGATTAAATAATTGTTTTCTATTAATTAAAATTAATTATATGTAGTTTATAGTTGATCAATTTATTGCTTAATAGTTTATCAAAAGTGATAGTGAGTTGATGGTAGACCTGTAATTAGCTGACTATTGGCCATCCTACTAACAGGATATTTACTGAGATATTGACCGAGGGTGCCAACACCTCATGGGACCTGTCATCCCTAAATTATGGTTCAGAAATGAGCTATAACACTATAACTGTAGCCTTTACACTTTCTAACTGTTGACTTTTCTTTCCTAGGTTAAAGAGGACACTTGTTATGTATCAGATGACTTTTATAGAGATATGAATATCTCTAGGTACTTAATAAGTTGCTTGCAAAGTGAGGAAGTAGAAAAATGAATGAATACTTCTTAGTTTGCAGATTCTCACAGCTATCGACATATAATTTGAATTGTGTTGTCGTTAAACGGTGTTATCCTTGTTTAAAAATCCTATGTTTTTTAATATGTAAGGGTATAACCGTCAATCAGTTTTAAAGTGGAAATCTCATTGGTTAGGTTTGTTTTAGAGAAGCATCCAAAAATACAGTGTACTAATTAAAATGGTTTTCTGAACAGTACTTCCACAAGGCAAATGCATGAAACAGTTTAAGAGAATCTTAACTCAATTATTTTCCAAGTAAAACCAAAAGTTTAATTTTGTTTAGACAAAGGAATCAATCATATATGTACATCTCCATTTCCATGTTTCCTGTAGGCTCAAAGGTGCCAAAAACACAGTTGTGAGGGATTATGTGTTGCCTGACTATACCCATTTGAAGCGAGGCTATGTTAAGGTCAGTCTTTCTTCTTCACAAACAACTTTTAGGGTAACACTGAACTTGAGGTGTTGATCATCACTTACAAAGTTGTGGCTAAGTCGTCTAGGCAAACTTTTGACCCCTTTTTGTCCAGAGAACTGATAATTTGATGAGAAACAACCTGGCATGCTCTTAAATGAAAATCTAACTGTAAAAGCACGTCTACTCCTCCGCTTAGTTATTCACATAAGTAGTTCAATATTGTATCCTAGTGTGTAAATACGATCAAATTGGGCTTCTTCTCAGTTAAAAATAAATCTGTGGCCCAACATTTTACATTTATTTCAAGTCACTTAACCTGTCTGTGACCACAATTATTTTAAGTACTTTGTAGCTTTCAAAACAATTATTTGTAGGCTCCATTTTAAATTTGGTAAGGATAATATGTACTGCATGTGGATTGTTAAGCAGTAATTTTAATAAAGTGTTATTGTCTCAGTCAGCAACAGAAATGTGGCTTGGAACTAGGAAAGAAAATGAGCAGGTTTGTATAATTAGAATTCTTATCAATTATCTGTTTTCATTTAGGAAAATTGAGGGGCCCTTGATGTACATGTAATTGATTCTATGCTTTTGCTTTACATGTAAACTGTAGATCTTACGAATGAACAATGAAAGATTTGCTGTTCCAGAGCTTTTGTTTCATCCGTCAGATATAGGTAAAATAATTTGAAATATTCATAATTGTAATTGTTGGTTATTTATAGAAGAATAGTTGCCAATTTTCAGTTCTCTATCAGTGTTATCAATGATGCTTTAGTTTCAATGATATCTTGTGCACCGGTTCGTCAGCATATAATGAAGATGTTTGGATTCTTGCAAGTTCATGCTTTTAATTTCTGTTTGAAAAAAAATTTTCTATGGGATACAGCTGTATTTGCAGATATTGGTGTCAATGATAACAAGGCCAGTATACACAGTCAGCCAATAGAGTGTAAAATAATTTGGGCTCAAGAATGATGCAATTTGCAATGTGCTCTTTCTTATAAATTGGATTTTGGTAAAGTGTTTTACATTTGGTTATCATTTCTTTTTCTTTTACACAAACCATTTACCACTCTACAACAACAGTTCCCAGCTCTGAAATTCCGACCTTCGATGGAATTGCAGACCAACGCCATGTATAAAATTCCCTGTGCAAATTGTTCCTGGTGTCATATTGGGGAAACCAGAAGGGCCTTTAATACCCGAAAAAAAGAACATTTGAGAAATATCAAAACTGCAGCCAAAAGTTCTAGAATTCCTGGCTATGGTGCTTCAATATTTTCACAAATTTCTTTTTCCATTTAGGAATCCATGAAATGGGAATACCAGAAGCAATAATTCATTCGATAGAACAATTGCCAGTGGGTAAGTGAGTCAACATCACAATCATTTGAACAAATACAGTTTTATGCTGTTATAGCAATTGCTCACGCAAGGAGAGAGCTCTGCTGGCTTTCATTTTACCTCATTCCCTCTTGCATTTATACTCATTCACTCTGTTAGTTAAGTGAGGAATCAGTCAATTACACATTGAATCTCTTCGTCAGTCAACAATTGATCAATCTTCTGAGAACTAGTTTAGTTGGGAGATGCCACTGGTAAGCTGATGTGAACATTTTGTATTGATTTATAGACTCGCTTGGAAAGAAATCCAAATTATATACAAGTCAGAGAAAGTAACTACAACCTTAAGTCAACAATTATTACAAAATATTTGAAAGACAATGCCCCCATGGAGTGGTCATGTAAACCTGGATAATCATTACAAGGGAGTTTGCCTACATGGTTTGCTCTAACTGATGTAAACCACCTTTTTTTTTCATTCATGTTTTTCTTCTATGTATTCTTAGCTTGTTGGTATGGTATTTTGCTTCCCCAGAAAACATAATGTTGCTAGATCTTTTTAATCATTATCGGTTGACACCACAAGCCTGAACGTTTGTTAGTTTACTTGAAAATGACTAGTTAATCACATTTCTGCAAGTTGCAATCAACACTTTTTTATTTCCTGGATTATTTTCAGAAATGCAGCCTCATTGTTATATGAACATACTTTTGACTGGAGGATGTTCACTGTTCCCAGGAATGAAAGAAAGAGTGTAATGAATAAATTTTGGTTTGGTTTAAATAGTGCAGTTGTGGCCAAATTGATTCTGTTTGTGTGTGTTTCATGGCTATTTGTGTTGGTCATGACTAGCTCTCCATAGTTTCTGTAAACATACCACAAGAGTAATGATTACGAAAATAATAACTGTCTTCAAATTTATGTCAATGACTCAAGAAGTTGCGCACTAACTATTTTTAGTATAATTTCAGAGCTGAGCAAAGAGTTTCCAGCAATCTGAMTGGTCGAGCGGTTCCTTATATGACGCTATATAAACCGCTCCACGCGGTTTATATAAAATGTTAAAATAAAATGTTAATAAATGTTACTAAAATGTTATGATTTTAGAAATTTCTCTGTTGTTCAGCTCTGAAATTATACTAAAACAATTATTCGCCTCAGGTTCGGTGAATATTGTCGAATAATCCCCTCGACTTCGTCTTGGGGATTATTCGACATTCGACTTCGTCTCGGGGATTATTCGACGATATTCACCTCACCTTCGGCGAATAATTGTTAAATAGACGACACTGTACGCTGAACACTATTGTTGTAAAAAGATTCATTATTGATGAAAGTTAACGTACAGTTATGATTAGAATCAAGATTGTTTCAGTGATGCAAAGAAAGATTGTGACATTTAAGCAATAATTTCTCTCCTTTTGGTTTAGTTTCTCCGAGGTTCGATCACTTGCTCCTTGTGATGTAGACGTTGCTGTTTATTGCCCATCAAAGTAAGGCTTTGCACAGAATTTTTTAAATCCTGCGATTTATGTTACATTTACGTTAGTACCGGAGAAGTTTACAGATATTTATTTTGTAAAGAAATAGTTAAAAAGAAAGCAATGCTAAACTAAGGTTTGAAGTTTTACCCGGTTTTGCATTAGCTTTGCTTTACTGCACTTTGTGTTTGGTCCAGAAAATTCGATCTTGTCAGCCAATCACATCCAAACTGAAAACTGAAATCAATCGCAGCATTTTAGTTGTTTTGAATTTTTGTGCTGGGAATTGTTCCCAAGAAAATTTCTTTGAGCCCTCGTTGGACTTGGTAAAATTGTTTTTGTTTTTCCTGCACGCCATTTGTGCGTAATGCACTATACGAGGTGCTTCGGGGCTAATGTAGGATTCCAAGTACATCTGCGCCATGGTTTTTATTTTTTTAACCGTTAACTTTTTGTTTCATCTAGGCCTGTAACACATGCTTGGGATGGTGGAGTTGCTCTGTCGAAGACCGACATGTTTGCTAGTAAGATGTGTGTGACTAAAGCCGAGTACGACGAACACGGAAAGAACATCTGCAGAGAAAAATTCGATTCTTGATTCTGCTGTATTTGTCATTTTAGATCTTTCTCGTCAATTGCTGTTGCATATCAACTACTAGAGAGATAGTTGGAAGCCTGAGAGAACCATGTGATTCACTTTTTGGGGCTTTCAGAGTAAGTCGGTCTGTAACTGATTTTGCGATATGGTAAGTTATCAAGCAAAGTTAGGACGATTTGAAATTATTGACGAAGTGAAAGAACTCTTCGTACCTATGTCAAAAGCCACATTTTCTGACTTCATGGGAGCAGAATACTCCAGTTCCTCGGCTCTGTACATATAGTCGTACAGATTCATTCCAGGAGCACGTTCAAACGCTGCACCGCCGCCATGCTTGACTGCCTCTGGAAAGGCCAGCATGGTACACGGAAGGCAAGGCATGATAGTCAAAATAGCGCCTAGTCACTTTTGTTGGCATCTAGCAGGAACAGTTGTTCACGTTGTTATACCTATGATCTCATAGTTGGAACAGGAAAGGACGTTATGGAGGCTCAATAAAGTCCTAACGCCACAATTTGAGTACTTTGTGTCTTTTTTTCAGTCTTCAGTAATTTGCAGATCTCTACTCTAAAATTCTTCCGGTGTCTAAACAAGGAACTTTTGCCTTTTACTTGCCATTTGCACACTGACTAGATTGTCTGAGTAGAGATTATGTTTTGGAGAAAACAAGTTTTCGAAGTTTATCGAGGGTTCCCTCATGTGCCTTTCCTCAATTTTTTTTTCTCTATTTCGGCTGTGTCCTTTGATTTCCACATTAAATGGGATTGTTTTTGACTGATTTGGAAACGCCTGGTTCTTTTTACCTCTTACTTCCACTCCCCTCTGGCTCACTTCGTAGTATTTTTCACTCACGAGAAAAAATCGCAGATCATTTTTATTACGTTTCTTCAGTTATAATATTTATGTGCAATATTTGATATGCCGGTGGAATGATGTTCAGTCGAAGTTACACAGCACCAACTAAAAATGAGTAACTGCGGTCAAATGTGATATCACGACTCGTCTACTCGGCCCACTTGGTGTAAATTGTACGAAATGTGAACTTAGGACAATAGCTACTAAGGGGACTGTAACAAGTATGGTTTATCATGTCTTTATACTCGCAAAGAAAAGCACATTTTCTCGGGAATAAGTACAAAAATATGTAAGATTTTATGGGATCGATAATGGAAAGATTTGTATATCTCTCCACAAAAAAGATGTACTCGACACACCAAATGAATCTAGAGTTGCTTGAATGATATTAAGGATATATTTGTTGAGAACATTTTAAGACGGATTTGGATGCTACGTGCAAAACGGGGGATTTGTCATTTATTTCTGTTGGTGGTACGTGTATGCCCCGTA